AGTGCCAACTTTGCTTTTCAAAATACTCCAGACACAATAGTCCAATGGATTGGTATCCGGAGATTGTGCACTGGAAATGAAGCGAGGAACCTCATTTTGTAACCATTCTTGGAAGGAGCGTGCTGAGTGCGATGGTGCTGAGTACTGTTGGAATGTCAAGGTCTGAGGCCAAAATGTTTGCGTGTCCAAGGCTTTGATACATCCTCCATAATATTTTCGCGATAATATTCAGCATTTATTCTGATGACACGGTCGATTAATACGAGCGGAGAGCGACCATCGGCTGTTATGGCGGCCCACACCATCACCATGGCCGGCGCTTGAGTTCTGGTGGCCAACCGAAGGTGAACATTTTCAGCGGATCTCTTTGGCAAGTAAAAACAATATTTTTCTTAGTTTTCAAACTGCTGGACAGCGAATGTTTTCTCATCGGAGAAAACCAAATTCGGCAGTTCACCACTTTCGGCCAAGCGAAGCAACTCTTTAGCTCTTTTGAGTCTATTTGCTTTCTGTTGCGGTGTAAGTTCTTGCACTTTTTGGAATTTCAATGCCTAATATTGAAAAATGAGCTCGGGGTAAGCTCATTTTATGCCGAATGGAGTATTGCGATATGTTCAGCTCACGAGCTCGGAAATTATTCGCGTTTTACGATTTTTTGGGTACTTTAATGCAACGTGTGGCACATCTTAGCCGTCAAATGAAATTTCGCAAAATATATATGGATTGGAAGATACACTTCAGTACTTCCTGGAAACCGCATGTGCATCAAATGATTTTGAGAATTACGCGATTTAGACGCAATTTAAAAAGTATATTTCATAATATTATTTTATTTTAAGATTTATTCCTATTTATAGAACCCTAAGATTCATCGGAAGGGGCTTGATATAATCCGCAAGGCGTATACTTGTACACATAAAGTGATTATTATATATTTAAATTTTTCGGCGAAATTCGGGTAAAATAGCAGAATAACCCAAGCATTTTTTTCTGAAATTTCTGGTATAAAATTAAAAAAATAAATATGATGACATTATTTATTCGAAACAAAAACAAATATTTTTCCTCTACATCTTGTTTTGTTGTCGCTGTAATTTACAAACCGCTACACGGACTTGTGCGATTTTGATATCATTTGATTCATCATGGTGTTTAGATCATGTAGATATTTTTAAATTAATTTTTAGGTTGATATATGTATGTCATTAATATAATTAAAATATTGATGTAATCTTCTATATATTTTTTTATTTTTCTCATATTTCGCGAAGATCTGCAACTTTATCGCGATTATTATAACATATTCATGTTTTACGGAGAAATATATATATCAACGTTTTTGGTCAATATAATAAACGGCGTAATTTTAAGATTTTTTTCTTATGCCCAAAATTAAAACCTCGATAAATTTTGCGCGCATCAACCAAAAATTTGATCACGAACGGTTTCGGAGTCAGAACATTTTTCTCTATATGTGTACCGAAAATTATTGATGTGCCACAAAAACAAAAAAGCTGATTTTTTGAAAATGGAATATTAAAAAATTGGCAATATTGCCCATATATTTAAATCCATGCTTAAATGATAATCTATCTAAAACAATCATAGTAAATTCGTTATAGCTTTCGAATTGTATGAGTTTAGAGATTGTGATTGGCGCATTTTTAACATTATTTAGTACTTTCAAACGTTATTTAATGATAGTTTATATATGTACGTCAATTTAGGATTGTAATAAATCAGACCAATTCGATTATAGAAACAGTTTCAGGCCCAATATGAAGAATAATTGGATAATTAGGACAACAATTTTTTTACCTGTATACCAAGGGAAAACAAGGGTAGTTTCTGACTTCCACGAGTCGCCCTGATGGCCCCATGTTGTCTAGGGCCACAAAAATTTGCAGAGGGGTTGAGGAACACCTTAATAAGATCTCAATAAAAAATAACTAAAAAAGCTTAACCCATTCGAAAGCTATAACGGATTTACTATGATTGTTTTAGATAGATTATCATTTAAGCATGGATTTAAATATGTATTATTTTAATGTATAAATAATTTTGAGTTCCTACATCTAGATCAGATCCGTATAGACTAATTTAAAACAAAAAACTTCACGATAGTCCAATTTTTTATTGAGTTACAGAGCTATCTTTGGATGGGTACAAATGTACCACGGTTATTGATCTACGTAGGTAATAATTTTAAAAAATTGTAAAAATTATATATATGGAAAATATTTATAATTATTTTCTTCGATTATGTGTGAAAATACCTCAAGAATGATTCCTCAAACTTTGATCCAAATATCTCCATTATTAAAAGTTTTACAGCATTTTTATTCGAAAAAAGGTACAAATGTACCCGTTTATTGACCGTAGGGTTAAACACAATAGTTCTTGTGTGGTTTGGGACGATGTGTAAAAATGACGACTGTGCAGCCAAATATATAGAGAGGGAAAAAGTGCAAATATTCCGAGCTGTTATCTTCAATGTGCAGGCATGAATTTTGCGCTTAAATGTATCTGAGTGGGAATCTGAGAAAAAGTACCAACAAATTGTACTTTGGGCAGCTAAATCTAAAATGCAGCTATGTACAAGGTAGCTAAATCAAAACTACTGTACACCCAAAGTAGTGAGGGCGATCATACCGTTCGATTATTACGATATTGTAGTATGAGAACCGAGATGGACTTCTTTCTACTGAAAACCTGCAATTATAATTTGCAGCCAATTGGGTTGGAAAATTCTGCTAAGGACTTTCAAGTATGTAAAATGGATCGGGGCCTTCATTGGGATCTATATCAAAACATGTCAATTTTCTGCTATGGGATCAATTACCTTTATAATATGAATAATAATGTTTGAAACTTATCCTAGTGGTAAGAGCAGTATTCTGACTTATTCTGGATATTCCCTAAAGAGAGATCTTGCTTATGAAAAAAAATTCGCTTTCACATTTTCGCCTTATTCTGAATGAATAGGGAAAAGCAAAAAAAAAAGGAGATGCGGATTCGAATATTCGAAAATGGTGGCTGAAAAAATTTGGGGAAGTGAAAATGCAAAGAAATTCGCTGCGAATTCTGGTTCGGAATAACTTTAAAGGGAAGATCGAACAAATTCACAGTGAATTGATGTCCAGAATAAGGCTGATTGATATTTCACTAGACAGACCTCGTTAAATAGATAATAAAATATTACTTTGATTCTGAATACATATACTTTGTCGACTCTATAGCGAACATTTCAAGGTATTGACAAAATAAAAAAAACACCATTTCATTATGAAGCAGGGTATAAAGCCCAGAGTTTTTAATTCCCCCTTCCCCCGTTTGTTAAGAAAGTAATAACAAAAAATGTATTTTAATTTTTGTATTTTTATTGAATATTTATTTATTCATATGGATTTGTTTTTGTAATTTTGTATATAAGTATTTTCATTTCAAATAAAATTACAATTGTTTTTTAAATAGTACAATAGTAGTGTTTTTTTTTTATTAATAATATAAGTAAGGTGTAATAATTCAAATATTTTTGTTTTTCGTTTATATTAATATTTATTTTGTTGTTGTTGCAATTTAAAAACTACTACATACACTCAAAAAATGCTTTGGTTATTGCTGTATAATTATTGGTGTTTTTTCCATTTACTTCAATTAAAAAACAAAGTCAATAAAAAAATTTTGCAAAAGAAATAAAAAAATTGAAAAAAACAAAATTTAGAAAAAAGTAGATAAATTACAATAAGTACAAATAGGAGGAGGAGGAGTTTAAAATAAAAAAAATATGGGAATTGGGCCAAGAGGTTTGGTTGCCATTATGGCCCTTTTCCCTCTTTTTAAAAATGTTGTAAAATCTTTAAAATATTTTTTTTCATTTTATTTAAAATTAAAAAAATTGTGTGTTGTCGTTGTTTGTTTTTTTTTTTGCACTACCAATATATATGTATTTAATGTGTGTAGTTGTTGTGTAAATTTCTAAATATGTATATTAATTAAGAGTACATAGGTCTATTTTATTTTATTTTGTTAAGTCTATAATTATTATGAATATTTCTATGTATGTATATGTATTTTGGTTGTTTGTTTGTCTATAAATGTAATAAGCCACATAGCGGTTCCAGAAGGCCTCCAATTAGAAAAAATGTACAACATTTCTAATGTATAACCTAGAACTTACAAAACTAACCTAAAATCTAAAAAGTGAGAAAGAGAGAGCTATTTGTCAAATAGGAAAATGGGGAGAGAGAGGAGGAGGATAGGAAAATTACAATTAACTTTAAATTTTACAAGGCATAGAATATGTTCAGTTTTAAGTACTTCGTAGTCTTCTGATTCTTCTTCTTCTTGGTGTATAGAATAATAGGAATGCTAGAGAGGAATAGAGAATGGTTCAGATCTTGAAGTCTTGTTCTATATTTGTATCTTGAGACTATATACTATTAAAGCGGTTGCACCGATTTTCATTGTTTTGATATCAACATATTGTTCACAACGTTTTCTTATATAAATTTGTTTTTTGTTAAAAATTATTTTCTTTTAAATTATTTACTAGAACTAGCTAAAACTATCTTATGATCTATAATATTTTAAAATACAAAAATATTTAAAAGAAAAATCTAAGAAAATTAAAAAAATAATAATATTTATAAGAGTAAGCTTTGGTTTTTGTTGTTGTTATGTCTTGTCTTGTTTGTTGTTGTAAGAAAAGTCTAATGAAATTTATCAAAAAATGAAACTTTAATTTAAAGTTTTTTAGTTTTAAGGATGTATGCGGGGCTTCCCCTACCCGAGTTTCCCGGAACTCAGTTCAAACCCAGAGAGTGAGCAAGAGAGATAAATACCCGCAAGAGAGTGTAAATGTGCAAATCCACATAAAAAGAGAACTTGTTGTCACAAATGACTAGAGAACATTGTTTTCTAAACGTGAGAGAGTAAAAAATCCGAGAGTGAGCGCGACACCCCTTTGTTACCAAGGGTCACATTTTGCCACTCCCCATTTATTTTTCAACTCCCAACAGCTTGGCTGCCTCATCCGGTGATGACATTAATTTATTCAAAATACCCTGATCACTGATACCCAAAAGATTTCCAATTAAATCCGATTGAGGCTGCATACCGTTATCATCGGCCATATTTTGTTTGCGTTCCCTCAGCACCGAACCATTGTTGCTGCCCCAATCACTGGCTTTGCTGAGCAATTCCTGAATTTTGGAATTCATGGAACCCATAAACAAAGCGTTGATATTGGCATTTGTCATGGCGGCAGGTGGTGCTGCTGGTGGTCCACTAGTCTGTTCATCATCCGAATAGTCGGAACAGCTATTGCCATTAGTCAAACCATCCATACCATGATGAGAACCATTCATGCTCATGCCACCATTATGCTTCTTCATGTGACGCAACATGCTATGCTTCAGCGTAAACTTGCGTAGGCAGATTTCACATTGGAATGGCCGCTCGCCGGAATGGGTGCGCATATGACGGCGCAAATCTTCAGTGGACCAGAAACGACGCATGCAGAAAGCACAAATCACTTTGCGGTTACTGTAATCGGGATATTTGCCACCCTTGTTGGCCTCTTCATTGGCTCGCTGGCGTTCTTCCTCTTCGTTCGATTGAATCTGAGCTGCTGCCTCCGACTCATTGTCGATGGCTCCTTTGGACAACAGCAACTCGTATTCTTGCAAGTGATAACATTTGATGTGTTCCAGACATTGATTCCGCTCGGCAAAGGAACTCTCACACAAATGACATTTGTAGGGCAACTCGGAAGAGGAGATACCCACAGTGGCGGAGGAGGAGGTTTCCGATTTCAATTGAAATTGATTATACTGCTGTACAGCTGCCAACTGCTTCAATAACGCCTGGCGTTGTTGTTGACGCTCGTGTTCCAATTGTTGTTCCTTTTCGCGTAATTCCTTTTCCTTTTGTTCGCGCTCCTTTTCCTCAGCCAAACGACGTTTTTCCTCCTCTTCACGTTCTCTTTGCTGGCGTTCAATTTCCTCGACAGATTTGGGCAATGGAATGGGTTCATTGACATCCTCATCGGGAACATAGACGGAAACGGCCGATTCTACATTACCATGCTTACGCAACAAATGGCGATCACAGTTACTTTTGGTGGTAAAGAGCAGTGGGCAATGCGAGCATTTGAAGGGTTTCTGGCCAGTGTGCGTCAAGATGTGACGTCTCAGAGAACTAGACCATGGGAACATGCGTTGACAATAGGGACACGATACACGATTGGGCGCCAAACTGTAGGCTGACTTCTTCTTAGTGGGAACACCACTGGCAGCATCTTCAGCACCGGAATTGTTGCTTTCACTGGCACTGCCTGAGGCCACCAAACCTTCTTCATCACTTTGATCCATGTGGTTGGCAGCATCTCCGGGACGGAAATAGTTGTTAAACGAGACCGAATTACTGGTGGCATTGTCCACCAACTTTGCCACTGGTACCAAATCCTGAGATTCATCTTTGAAGGCAGAACTGGCCACATCTTTAAGTGATTTACCCACAGCAGGGGCTTGAGCAATCATCGACTTCAGGGTACTGCTGTTTGGCACCATTTCTGTTGAGGGTTTTGGTGCAGCCTTGATGGCCTGTTCCAAAATAGATTCAGCCACTTTCTTTGCTGCCTCTTTGGGTTCCTCACTCGTCTCATTTTTAAGTTTGACCTCCTCCACAGTGGTGGGTAATTGATTTTCCTCAACGGCGACATGATCGTCCTGCTCCTCCTCCTCATCATAATCCACACCATGATCTTTTTCCATTAATTGTATATCATTGTGATCGTAGTCATAATCCTGATCATCATGGATCTCTTCGACATCATCACCATCGTCTTCGTCATCTTCATCCTCATCAATCACCAGTTTGGGTTCATCATCTTCCATTGAACCATTAGGTGTACCACTTTGACTCAGATGTTGTTGTTGTTGTTGTTGGGCAGAAGAGGATCCATAGTGGGGAAATCCACTGGCAACACCATTACCATTAAGGCCTCCCAAAAACATATTCGAATTGGCAACACTATTGGAGCCATGGACCAAGGCTTGCTGCAACAAATCAGGATCCTTGCGGGCCTTCAACTGCTGAGCCAAAATGGCATATTTGACTTGATCGGAAATGGGTGAATGATTGTTGCTACTGGAACCGTAGTGGGCCTGGGCGGCTACTGCCGCCTGCAGATGGGTAATGCCATTCATATTGGCAGCACTGCTGGCACCGCGTCCACGCATAACATGATGACCGCTACGTTGACGTTGAGCATAGTATTGAGGATGTTGTTGCTTCACGTGACGTTCCATATTCGAGCGCAAGGTGAAACGGGCCGAGCAGTGTTCACAGGCGAAGGGACGTTCGGTGCGATAACGGCGCTGCTTTTGTTTTGGCATGAAGACACCATTCTTGAGCACCATTTTAACGGGACCATTTGACAACATGGTGGGTGGCAAGTGAGGAACTTGACCGCCAGCCATTGAGGAGGGATTTACAACATGACGGGGAATATTCAAGTGACTGGGATTGGGCGAGAGCAGACCAGCAGGCTTGGGTGACGGCATTGGAGCTGTGTTGGATTTCTCCGACATCATTGGGCTGATTGGTGGCATTGCAGCCATAGAGGCTGCTGATGGGTTCATGATTTTTTCTAAATCAGCTGGTGTTGGCATGGCAGGAGCAGCACCAGTGGCGCCCAACATGGTCCTAAAGAAGGGAGCCAATTTTTGGAAATCCAAATTATTTGGCATGAACGGTGAGTTGGGCATCAGGAAGGGATTGAGTTGAGGGAACAACAATTGAATGCGATACAATTGCTGTAGATATTGAGCAGGATCATTGAGCCATGGTTGATGGCCCATCAGGAATTGTTGTTGTTTTTCCAACGATGTCAAATCGGCCGCCTTGTTGGCGACATCGTCATTGGTGGCAGCTGTGGTGGGCAACACCGATGGAATTGCATCATCTTTTTGTAGCAAAGGCAAGGGGGCATCCAGGGCCACCTTTGGTTCGGGGGGATTTTGTGCGTTTGTTTGTGTGTTATTGGGTTTCTTGCTCAAATCCAAAACATCCATGCTCATATCAAGGGGTGCTGCTGATGGTGATGCAGTGGTAATGTCCACTGGACGCTTGTCATTGTAGCTATCGCCATAAGCCGAAGAGGCTGAGGATTTGTCCAATAGTTCATTTAGATTTTTCACTTGGATCTTGACAGGCTTTCCAGAATTGTGTTCTCCAACACCCTGAGTCAACATCTCCTTGAGATGTGAAACGGGAGTGGAACGATCCTTGGGATGGGGCTGATGATGGTAGTATTCGCTGTCATCATCAATTTCAGGCGAAGAGAAGAGATGTTGTTTCTTGTTGGGATCATCACAGCTGGAATCCTCCGAGGGATGATAGATAATGGCACGTTTGACATCCTCGCGTGTGGTCTTGGCATGACGGTTGCGTAAGTGGCGTTCGCAATTAGCCTTTGTGGTGAAGGCGTAATTGCAGACGGCACATTCATAGGGCCGATCGCCATTGTGGGTACGCATGTGACGTACCAGGGCGGCCTTGTCGCAGATGGAGTAGGGGCACATGTTGCAACGGAATGGACCCGCGGGGCCAACTTCACTCAAATGGACGCGATTGTGACCCTTCAGGGCACGCAAGTTGGGGAATACTGCTGTGCACAGTTTGCAGGGGAATTCGCCGCGCAGTTTCATTTTACGGAATTCGGCTGTGAAAACATCTTGGGCCTCTTCCTCGTCACGATCATAGCTGAACTGAGAGGAGGGGGTGTTCACCGATTGTTCAAAGTTCTTGAGGAAATTAGAGGTATTCGATGATGAGGTCATATTCAAAATCGATTGAATATCAGCCAAATCTTTGGAATCATGACCCGCCGAGGGTTCCGATTTAATATCATCTTCGGTTAATTCAATGTTGTGATGGGAGGAAGGTGAGGAAGCATTGGCTTGGGCCATCATATTTTTCAGTTGCAAGTGGCGGAAGAGCTCCTCACGACGGCGTTGTTGTTCCTCAGTGGCGTGATCGTGATGTTCTTCTGCGTGTGATTCCTCTTGTGGGCAATTGTCGAGAGAATTTTCCCTTGAACGGTGTGATCGAGGTGTAAAATGTTCTCTACGCTCGGATTTAATGTCAGCAGTGCAGGGGTGCATGCTGAGCTGGTGATGAGTCCTGAAGATAACCTCACAATTTGTACATTTTGCTGGTATTTCGGGATGTTTGGCATCCATGTGTTGATCGAGGGCGGTGACACTGGTGAATTCATCATCATTACAAATGGGACACATTACAGATTCATTGTTGTTGTGGTTTGGGGTTGATGATTTTTCACCATTTGTTTGTGAGCTGGGAGGGCAGGCGGCGTTGGCCAAAGCTTTTAAATGCTGCTTTAATAGTTCTTCAGGAGTTGGGGGTTTTTGTTGCTGCTGTTGTTCGAGATCATGTTCATCATTATCATTACTTAGCTTACGTTTATAGTTGTTATTGTTAATTTTCAAGTCATTGTTGTTGTTATTGTTGTTGTGCTGGTGACCCGTGGATGTATCTGTGGAACAGCCGCCATCACTTTCATAACTTTCTATGGCTGATGTTTCGGCGTTACCATTTAATCGCTTGTCATTAGCACCTGTCTCGATGTGATGATTATGATTATCGTGTGTTGTGGCTGGTGTTGTTGTTGTAGTTGTTGTTGTGGCAGCTGAAGCGACGGCATTTGACGCTGTTGCCATTGCCAAAGCTGTTGATAATTTAACGCCTTCATTTAATTGTCCATTGCTTAATGGAGTTGTGGCATTAGCTGGAGCGGTTGTGTTGCTGTTCGATGTTGCCGCCGACTTGGAGTTGAACTTTGTTCCATTCGAGTTGCGTCGATGATGGGTGTGCTGATGCTGTTTGTGAGTGCGCATGTGGCGATGCATGTTGCCGTTGGTGGTAAAAGTGAGATGACAATATTTACAATTGAATGGTCGTTCGCCGGTGTGCACCAAAACGTGACGATCCAATGATGAGGCAGATGAGAGGACCTAGAAGAGGAACGGAAGGAGAAAGGAAAATTTGAAAAACATTAGAAAATTTCAAGGAGGACAACATTTTTAAATGCAAAAAATAAAAATTTTACAAAATTTAATTAAAAAAAAAAACATTGATATTCACTACTCACCTTTGAGCAAATACGGCAGGTGAAGTTTTCCGTATTCCCTGAGGTGTAGTTGTGACAGCGTATGTGATTGGTAAATTGATGTGGTGTGGCTGAGACCACGTCACAAATGGGGCAGACATATTTCATATCTTCACCGGGTGCCGAATCGGCACTTGAATTTCCCCCTGTGCTCTGTTGATGGGGTGGCGTCGAGGCTGCCGATGAACTATTTGATTTGTTGCCATTACCCGTTGCCGAGCTACTGTTCATCAGCTGACTGCTGCTGGCATCAACGAAACCCGATTCATTGCTGTGATCAATCGAACTGTGATTGAAACGGAATTTCTTACGCAACGAATTTGGATTATCGGCATTGTATTCAATGTGAACCGAAGTGCGTTTATCCAAAAGATTGCGCGATGTCAGGCGACGTTTATGATGTGTAGTATGTTGGCGTTGTGGTTTCTCATCGGCCGATTCCTCATCATCGTAATCGTTGGCCTCATCGGAATCTTGCATTTTACTTTGTAAATATCTTTGGGTATTTGTGGCGGCGGCGATGGCAGCCGAGGAGGCATCGCCAGATGTCAACATGGTTTTGTCGTTGGCCACCAATGGTGTTGAGGTGCCAGTTTGTAGTTTCTTTGGTGTGCGACCCAAATCTAAATGTTCCAACGATGATTCTGAGGTGGCGGAATCACGTCTTTCCATTTTAATTGATGCAGGATGAGCGGCGGAGGTGGTTTCAGCCGAGGAGCTGGTATTGTGGTGTGTGGCCAACATTTTTTTATTTGCGTTGATTTGAAAAGTGGGGAAAATTAAAATTTAATTTGAACTTTTTTTTTCCAAATTTCCCAAGAGTCGTTCGTTGTTGATCTGAAAATAAAATGAAAAATAATTTAAAATTTTGAAATTTATGTCGAAGATTTTATTTTCACGATGATTTGATTTTTTTTGGGTTTAAAGTTTTTTCCTATTTTTTTTTTCAATGGCAAAGTAGATGTGGAGAAAAATACCCCATAAAATCATCTAGTATTTAAATATGTATCCCCGTTATACAACATCCGCCATATTTCAGATAAATATTGCCCTGCCTTAATTTGATATAGTATATTTCTCAACACAAAAATGTATTTCTTGTCTTGTTGTTGCTTTTTATTTACTCTATATATTTGTCATTAATCATTACTAAGGGATTTTTTCACTTTTTTTCGGCAGGTTATCAATAACTGGTTGATACTGCATGAATCACATTGGGAGGTAGGTACTCATCATTTAGAAAGAAGAAAAAAAAAAACAACACATTTGCCTTGGTCTTAGAAATTTGAAAAAAATCCGATAAGAAAACAAATCACAAAAAAAATCCAATATGAATTGAGTGGCCAGGTAAATCTATTTCAAATAGGCATCGCCATAATTTCTACTCCCTAAAATATATCGCGCTCTCTCACTATCTTCCTGACCATTAATAATTTTCCCATTTGGAAATAGGAAAGAGATTAGATTAAATAGAGAGAGAGCGAGGGCGAGAGTCAGGCCGAGAGATAAGAAAGACATTTGATTGTGGTTTGCATTGATGTTGCTGTTGTGCATTGCCTTGAGATATTCCGTTAGGTTGCTCCTCGTATTGTTGTAATTCAACTTCCGTCGGCATTTCAATTGGTGTCTGATTGGTAAAATCCGTTATGTCGGATGTGAGGTGAGGAGTGAGCGAGAGCAATAGATATTTTGACTTATTTGGAAAAACTACTGTAACTTTTACAATTCTTAATCGATTTGGAAAATTAAAACAGATTTGAAAAGCTGAGAATGTAAAGTGTTAGGATAAAATATTGAAATTTAATATTAAGTAATGTTTTACATAAGAAATATGTAAATAATTGTTTAAGGGAAACATTTGGTGACAAATAAAAAAAACTTAAAAAGCTTAATTACTTTTAAGGAGCAAAAAATTAGTTTTTGAATTTTTGAACAAATTTTGAATTAAGAAAAAAAAAATATTTCCATTTAGGTCATATTATTTTTTTACGATTTTTACACTTTATACAAATTAAGATTATTAATTTTTTTCGTTTTCAATTTTTACAATTCTTACAGAATTTTTTTTTTATGAAATTTTTTTTTGTTTTGAAATTCTACATACAACTATGTTTTAAATAAAATTCTCTGCTGATTTTCACAATTTAAAAAAAAATAAATAAATAAATAAAATAATGATATTATTTTTACGGTAGTATTTTGTAGTAAATTCTAAATTAATAATTAAAGAAAAACTTTATTTTAAAAGTGATTTAAAAAAAATATATATTTTTAAACAATTTAATTGCGAATGATTTATTTAATTAACAAAATTTAAATTTTAAAAATATAAAATTTTTTGAACAAATTTTATTTGGGAACGATTCATTGGAAATATTTATTTTTATCGAAATTATTTCAAATCGATCTGTAAGCTATTGGTTATTATGCTAAAATTATATTCCATTACTTTTAATACGAAGCAGAATTTTAAATGTATTTTCTTGCAAGAAAATATATTTGTAAAAAAAATAGAAAAATAAAATTAAAATTTCCACAGCGAACAATTTTGGTATGTAATATAATTTTAATACAAAGCTAAAATGTTACGCTGTGTATATTTAAATTTTTTTTTTATTATTTTTACTTATAATTAATTATAAAATTAATTTTTAGTAAAATATATTTTTTGAACGGAAAAAATGTTTTTCCAACAAATTAAAATCATCAGAAATATTTTCCGTGTTTTTTGTTTTCATCACCAAATTTAAAAAAAAAAAAAACAATTTTTTAAATTTTTTCTATTCTTTTAATTTTTTAATGCCAACGGCATTTTGTTTTAGAAAAAAGTGATCCTAAGCTTTGCCATCTAATATAAAAAACAGGAAAAAACTTGCTTACCCAAAAGTTTTATATAAAAAATGTCAATAATAAATCCAATAATAAAGTGAGTTGGTAGACCACCAGCAAAATTTTTTATTTCAAACACTTTTTATTTGTTCAACACAAAGTTATCTTATTTTAACAATTGTTTTTTTTTCATTGTTTTGTTTAAAAACATTTCAATTCTTTATTTACCTTTTCCAATATATATTTTTTGGTAATCCGTTTAATTTTATTTTTTCGTTTTGTCACAAAATAAAATTTTTATTGAATTTTGTTTCAAATTATCCAAAAAATTTAGCTTTTTGTTGATTTTTGTTGTGTCAACATTATTGTTTATTTTTTGTTTAGAAAATAAAATTTTCACTCAATTTGTTTTCAAAATTTAATTACGGCATTTGTGGTGAGGTAGTGTTTTGAATTTATTTTTTTACTTCAATGCACCATAGAAATTTCAATTTATTTTTTAAAATATTTTTTTTTGTAATATTTCTTGGTATTGTATTTTCACTTAATAACTATTGCACCATTATTTGTTTTTATTTTTCTTTATTTATATTTGTGAGCAATATTTATTTTAAATTATTTTCTTGAGCTCTTATTTCTTTTTTCTTTCAAATGATGCTCTTTAATTATTTTATTTTTTTCTTTTCAAGTTAATTTTTTCTTTAAGTTTGTGTGAAGCGTTTTCTTTCTTAGTTTCGTGCTGCGGATATATTTTTTCTTCCGTTTATTTGATGTATCTCCGTACGCGAGCACACACTTAATGATTGGTCTTGTTAAAATCCAAACTGAACTTAGGTTACGGTTTGGCTGCGGCGGATGGTGGCAACGACGTTTGCTGTTGCTGTTTGTGGTGGTTGTGGTAGTTAGTTGAAATGAATCTGCTCTCAGCACTAAATGAGTTGTTGAACAACGTATCCGTTACACGACGATGTATAATTCTTATTGTTTTTTTATTTTGGGGGATTTTAAGAGGTGTTTCTGCTGCTGCTTGGCTCCCGAAATTTTAATTTCCGTTTCTTGAGAGAGAGTATTTTTTTCTTTCGTTATATGTTTTTTGGGAGTAATTTAAATATTTTTTTGTTTATCTTCTTAAAACTTAAACTTAACGAAGTAATTTATATATAGAATAAAACACTATATATTTTTGTCTTATAAATAAAATTAATTTATTTTTGTTTTTCTTTGCTGTTTTATAAACAGTTTCAGTTTTGTGTTCTTAATTTGTTTTTGGTTTAGTTTTTGTTTTTTGAGTTATCCTTTAGTGTTTGGCAGATGAAACTCGACTGAGTTTGGTCTGCTGATATGGAGTTGTATTTAAAGAAATATTTTCCCACACACGCAATCTTTGAATTTAATCCCTCTGCCGTTGGTGCAGTGGCAGCGGCAGCAGCACCTTTATCACCTCACAAACAGCAGCAGCAACAACAACAACAATAACACCAAAATGCACACAATCAACAGCACACATCCTCAAGAACAGATGAAGAGACTATCAGCAGCAGCAACAACAAAAACAACCAATATTATCTCTGAAGAGGACAGTCACAAATGATTGGGTGTTTTGTTGGTGCTCACCATACAACAAATGAGTGACAGAGCAAGCAAGCACACGAACCACACAATACCACCACCATTAATCCACGAATGCACACACTCACACACTCGCACGACGGCCAAGCACATCAGCCCAGAAGATGATAACAGAAAACCAAAACAAAATAAAACAAAGAGAGTAAGAGCCCCACAGAGCAGTTTAACATCGCTCACAACCACAACGAACGGTAAATGAGATGTTGTGAGTGTGTGTTGGTTCGTTGGTCGGTTGGTGCAAAACGGTGGTTGGTTTCACGAGAAAAAAGGAAATGTATCTGATAGATACTTTTGTTCCTCTGCTGCTTTTTGTAGTTGTTGTTTTCACTTAATTCTTTCTCAAGAAATACCATCTCATGGAGAAATGCTGTTGTTATTGAAAGGAAGTTAGAGGGTTTGTATGTGTGTGTGCATGCGTTTTTTGTTCCTGCCATAACCATCATCAACACCAGCAGCAGTAGTAGTCGCTGTAGCAGCAGCAATGACGACGTCGACGTCATCATCATTACAGAAAAAAACCTCATCTTCATACGCATGTCTGTAAATGCGTATCTAATGGATTTTTCTTATTGCCTTTAAATGACAAACACATGCATACAAACATGTATGTATATACATACATATGAACATAATTACAGCTTAGACCAGTACGTCAGAGGGGTTTTATATACATTTTTTGATTGCAATATGTGACAAGATATAATGTTTTCGAGGATCCACCGTCCAGAGAATTGCACCATGTCTTACAGAGATGGATTCAAATTTTTAAGATTATTTTTTTTCAATTTTTCGGGTGATCGGAAACAAACTTTTTAATTAGATTTTTATAGTTATTTATATACGAAATTTATTTGTATATTTTAAAAAGCATGAATTGGATAAAAATGCAAGAGGACGTTGAAAACATACGAATAGCGGTTTTTTGTTTTTGAGGCCTCTAAATAAAAAATCATGAGCGACATTTTTGTAGAATATGCTGAGGTCCAAAAATCTGATCTTGTTGGGTTGGTTCAAAAACAAGGGCGAAAAGGCGCAAGGATTCGTGATAGAAGGAGGATATGTTTTACAAAATTATTTAGCATTTGGAGCAGTAAGACTCGGATCGGAAAAAAGATTCTCATTCTTAAAGTTTGCTCTCCTCGCCATTAGGACCTTCTGAGTACTTGAAACAAATAACGAATAATGCATAGAAAGTCGGACAAGATCAACCATATGATACCTTACTCTGCTACTGATCATATCTACCTTTCAACCTCCATACATCTAACGGAGGTAAATTTTGACCT